TTTCAAAAATAAAAAATAAAAAGGGTTTTTTTTCACGTCCGTTTTCTTGAAAAAACACTTAAATTTTTTTGGTATTTATCAAAATAGATAAAAAAAAATTTTTTTCCCCTAGTTGACTTTTGTGCTAGCGATAAAACATATAGAATACCACTTTTAACACCTCCCTCTGTCTCTATCCCTCTATTAATAGTTTCACATCAAGTTCAATAGAATTAAAAAAACTTTGGTGCTTTTAAATTCTCCTCGCCCTTCTCTCAAATTGAACTTGTGATCTGATTAGGATTTTTTTCCTTTTGAAAACATCTGTTTCATGCTCAGATTGAAAAAAAAACGGTACTTAGGTGTTATCCAAAAATGTCAGCATTTCGGTAATTGGCCCAAATTGGCACCCCGTTTTTACATGTTTTGTAAGTGTTGGGGCGGCAACCAAGTGCTTCGATTCATGTAATGTCAGCATTACGGTTGCGACAAAACATAAGTACTAAAAAACTTATTGGTGAAAGGCGAGAGGAGCGAATCAAGCGTCTGGCGAACTTGGTGCTCGCCAGGGATCCACAGCACCGTAGATCCCAAGCGATTGATTGCAAATACAAATTCAACGTGCAACAAAAGCCGCCTATCCGGTATAGTGGTGCCGTAGGAGCTAGGTTCGAATCACGGGTAAGGCAGCATAGATGTTAGTGTTGTTATCCTTCTCTTCTTTGTGATGTGTTCTTCACACTTTTATGAAAGCCCCCGAGTGATATTTTGTGGTGCACGGGGTTATAAATATTCTCAATAAATAATAACAATAAAAATAGGTGGAACAAAAGATCTTGAACCGACATTGCAACCCGATTATGTCCAGAGATTTTAGTCGTGCAGCAGCCCTAGCCTTCCCCAGTTTATCTGTATGTAATCTGTATGAGTTTTTTCTTTTTTGCACAAATTTTATTTCGAACAAGCAAATAGTATTCAAGTCAAACAAATTTATTTTCGAAAATAGCAGTGCTTAGTTACTCTAGGATACATCTTACACTGAGAGAAAGAATCTCAACACGAAGGAAAAATTATTTTATACTGAAGAAACTTTGGTAATATATTTGTCTAGATAAAGTATTTAAATAATTAAAGTTTTAAGATCACAAGTTAATGTAAGCGCGAGAAAAGCCATTTCAAATGCGAAATGGAGGTACATTAAAAATGATTAAACCTATTATTTTAAATGAAAACATGCAAACTTTTAATGTGTTCTACAGTACCGGATATCAGTTTGTGAGATGGAACTGCATGCCTATTGCTTTTGGGCTGTTCTTTTTGCCGTCCAATGATGTCCCATTCATTCTCGATTGGAGTAAGGATCTGGTGATCTAGCAGTCTAAAATAACACGTTGGCACCACAGAACATGTTGGGTAACAACAGGGTATGAGAGCACGCGTTATCCGTTTGGAAAACATCCCTTGAATGATGTTTAAAAAGGCCAATGCAACAGTTTGAATCACTGGACTGACTTACAAGCTTACAGTCAGAGTGTGTGAATCAACCTCGAGTGTTCCTGCAATCAAAGAAAGTTGCTCCCGCCATATCATAACTCTAAGTGCAGGTCCAGTGTTTATAAGGCAGAGAAGGATTGTTTGCAAGCTCTGACCTGACAGGGCAAGTACACTTACAAGGGGAGGGCACGACTAAAGAAATTCATTTGGGATCGAGACTTGGTGTAATAGTAGTATTCTTTTAGGGTATTCACCCCTCAGTGTAATTCCGTCGAATGGCCAGTCAATTCGGAGAAATCAGCCTTCGAAATTCATGCTAAGCTTTTATACAATGAAATTTTAATTTTCCGCAACGAGTTCGTAGATTGAGTGGTAAATCAGACGATTTACCAATCTATGCTATGCTGGAGGTTAGGGTTCGACTCCACGCGATCAACTTTATTTTCTTCAATTCATTTAATTAATTTTTTAAATTAAATAAATTTAGTTATGAAAGGTTTATTAAATATTAAATGATATTTTTTGTAATTATCTTGTATTTTATAAAATAAAATAAATTTAAAATATATAACTTAAATTTTTTATTAGTAAAATTATTAAAATTATTATTAATTAAAATATTAAAATAGTTATTAAATAAAATATTTAAAATAATTATTAATAAAAATTAATACTTAAAATTAGTAAATTAGTTATTATTTATTAAAATTAATTAATCACTATTTATACTAATTAATTAATTACTATTCATTACAATAATTAATCACTATTTATTATAATTAATTTATTATTAAGCATTAGTATTAATAAAATATTATTAATTTATTATTAAAATTATGATTTATTATTGAAATTATTAATTTATTATTGAAATTATTTAAATAAATTTTTGAAATTAAATAAATTTATTTGAAAAGAATTTATTAAATATTTTATAAAATTGTAAAATAATTTAATAATAATATATTGTATAAATTATTTTATATTATATATAATATTTTATTTATAGTATATTGTATTTCACATTAAAACTATTTGCAACTAATTTTTTTTGTAAAATATCATTTAATATTTATTATATATTTTATTAGAAATATTATTTATTAATATAAAATAGATTTATAAAATTTAATATAATTATTTATATAATCAAAGTAATTTTTTTATTTTATAAAATAAAAAAACTTACAAAAAATATCATTTAATATTTAATAAACCTTTCATATAAATAAATTTATTTAATTAAAAAATAATAATTAAATGAATTGAAGAAAAAAAGTTGATCGCGTGGAATCGAACCCTAACCTCCAGCATAGAAACGACGATTTACCAATCAAGCTACGAACTCCTTGCGGAAAATTAAAATTTAATTGTATAAAAGCTTAGCAATTTCGAAGCTGATTCTCGAATTGACTGGCATTGACGGAATTATTGAGGTGAACACCTAAAGAGTACTACTATTACCCAAGTCTCGACCAAATGAATTTCTAGTCGTGCCCTCTCCGTTAGACAAATAAGTGGAGAGCACAACACATTGCCATTCCACTCTCCAATGATTTCTAATACGATATCACTGAAGTCACAGATGTCAGTGATGTAAAGCTAATGGCTGGGAGCTATTTCTCAAACGATTAGATTTGTCACTGTTCACTGTGTTACTCTGGTGCCGAAATAAAAAGGTAATTTCTGCTGTAGAAGCACTATGATGCTACCCAGCCTTGTGGTGAATACGGCGGGCTTCTCTGTCAGTGGTGACCCTTGCATTTTTGAACCATAATTTTCTTGAGATAACACTTTTCCACGACCAATGCTGACAAAAATCATGCACAGTGGATACATTTCTACCAAGTCTTTCTGCAATATCATAGATAGAAAATCTAATTTTTTTTTAGCTGTAACTTCCTCATTCAAACTCAGAGTAGTCCTCAATACGTCAAATCTCAATGATAAAGAGTGCTAACGAACTTTATAGCGCGTATTTAAAGACACTTGATTCGTATTCTTCTTTATTCTCTAGAGAATAAATCCTGCTGCAAATCATTGCTATCGGTTAAATGTGAGATTTTAAAAGAACCTAGTTTACTAAAATCTCTAGAAAATTAAATCCAAAACTGCAGAAATAATTTTAGAGAAATGGAAGAAGGAACAACTGACTTATGATGGCTCTCGTTTGAAAAGGAAACTGAACAAGCACGTTGGCAGCCAAAGAGAAAAATTATTTTCCAGGAAAGTGTTGTTGTTGCTCATCTCACCTGTCTGACATATTTAGATCGAGGCTCATGAAATTCATCGTGGCAATGGGCTAGAAGTACGCCTTTCGTTAGGACTTAGCCTTGAGCACCATACAGGTGACAGTACGATTTAGCTCGAAGAAATTCCCGAAGGAACGATCGATGGCGACGCTACCGATCTCCACCTCCACAATTTAGACACGAAACTGTGAATAGGAGGGAAATTTTCTCCAGTTCCCTGCATTCGTGATTAAGCCCACAAGACTTTCGGACCCACTGATTTAACGAGCAAGTACTCCGCGTGTACTCGGAGGGTATTTGGCGGTACGGGCATCGAACCCAGGGCTTCCGGTCTGGAGTCCGGTGCTCTAATCACTAGGCTACCCACGGCCACTCGAGGAAAGTAAAGAAGTCGGCTATGAATTTTTGAAAGTAGGGAACATTTCATATTAAATTCATTTTATGTCCTATGCGCTAGGGCAAGAGGAAAAATATCCAAAAGAGCTGAGATTAATGAAACTGCCATAAAAAGATTACTGTATTTTTTGACGAGAGATTATTACCAGAAATTAAGAAAATAAAGTGTGTGTGTACTTATGTAAGCAATATGAAGTTATACTTCTTTGGCGTAACAAGATTAAAGTTTTCTAAAATCTTTAGCAGGCAAGCTGGGCCAAGGGCGAAAAGTGGTCCCGAGCAGAGTTGAACGATACTAACCTTCAGTCAATTGGACCGGCCAAAATAATCGCCATTTAAATAAATCTAAGAACCTGTGCACACAGGGACAATAGGGCCAATAACATGGGGGTATCAGACTGTATCTGGAGATGAAGTGAGCCGAATATGACATCTGAGACCTCATATTGAATGCCTTGGCGGGAAGAATCGTTCCTGAGAAAATTAAGACATCCGCCTGAGAGCCCCGAGTTATGGTCATTTTAAAATAATTAAAACATTTAAAACAATTAAATAAAAAGAAAGGACACCCAGCAACTTGAAACTGGGCAGGAATGATCTGTTCCGTTCTAAATATTTCTATTCAAAGCATTTTCATATCCGTTCCTACGGAATGCAAAGCAAGGTTAGCTAACGCGGGATATAGCTCAGTGGTAGAGCATTCGACTGCTAATTTTGAGGGTCCCCGGTTCAAACACAGGTGCCCCTTCTTCAGGGAAGTAAGGGAAATATTTTTGAGAAATTCGAAGGCGGAATGATCTGTCCCGTTATATGCATATTTCTAGACAAAGCATTTTCGTATCCGTTCCTACGGAAGGCAAAGCAAAGGTTAGCTGACGCGGGGATATAGCTCAGTGGTAGGGCATTTGAATGCAGATTGAGAGATCTCCGTTTCAAACCCGGGTGTCCCCTTTTTCAGGGAAGTGAAGAGAAATATATTTTCCTGGAATTTCGAAGGCGGCAATGATCTTTAACGTTCTGTATATTTCTGGACCATCGTGTGCGTCACATCCGTGACGGTGTGCGCGCGCATCGTAAAAATTCACCCTCATCCTATTTCTCTAACGCCCCAAAAGAAGTATAACTTCAAAAAAAAGCGGCAGAAAATCTAAGGCAAATCTACAAAGACGATATTGGATCTTTTAATTTTGTCGGTATGATCTGGATGAGTTATTACTATTTTTAAAAGAAAACAAAGATATAATGAAGACCCCTCACTAGGAATTTATAGTGTTGCAAGAGAAATTCTTATGTAAAGACAGTTTTGAAAATATTTTTAACAATACCGATATCGAGTGCATCTTGTGAGGTATTTTTCAGTTTTAAAGGAATTAAAAATTATATGAGCAGTACTAGGGGAGAGAAGATAAATTGACCAACATGATCGTATTTTATGTAGAGCAAGATGTTTTGGACAAAATAGATACGGCAAAAACTATTGATGAATTTGCAAAGAAGAAATCATGAAGTAAGGTTATTCAGCAAAATTGAAAGCTCTTTATTGTTTTTATTTATTTACTTTATTTTAATGTTTTAAAATACAGTTATAATTGTTCTTTAACGTTTTGGTTTTGAGTTTCTGAACCCCAGTCCCCTAGACCTGGCCACTTCGGATAAACATTATAAACTCGCGGGGCGTAGATATAAAAATATTCTTTATATTACATTTGGAGATCTTTATATTAGATTTATTGGAGTGACGTATTATTATTGTTTTCATTGTTTTTTTATGTATGAAACATAGATTATATAATAATAATAAACCAATGATCAAATAATTTTTTCTCTTTTAATTATTGAGATATTTTTTTCTTAACTCTTTCACTTAGTTTTTGCAAGTCAATCACAATACGTGTATTTGTTGAATGTAGTCGATATTGCAGATTTTCTTCCGTTAAGTTTGAGCACGATTTATATTAGATAAATTTCATTTTGGAAAGAAAAAATGATTCGCTGTAACAGAAGCAACGTGATAAAAAAAACAGATATGGGAACTATTTGTTAAAGAAAACCACTAAAAGGAAAAATATAGCACAAAATAATCGTATTTTGTAAAGTTGTGATGAATTCTGCTGGCCACAAAGTTACTCAAAGTGGACTATATTAGGCCCTTGGGCAGCGCATTGGCCACTCCTGAGTTAGACATTCCATCCTTCCTCAGTAGCATGACAGCCTAGGGTCGGCCTTGGCCTTCTGAAGAAGCCTTTTCCAAGCCATCCTTCTTCCTGCTAGTGTTCTCCAAGTCCGAGTGGCTCTGTTACACGGAGAAAAAAGACATACTCAAAAATGAGCACGTCGATATTCTTATTTTGAGATAAATATGCTTGTGTCAGATTTGACGGCATGCTTCAATCGAATTTGATTCGTTACATGTACTCAAAATCTCCCAAAATGTTAATTAATGCTCTCGGACAAATTAAAAAACAAATTCAGGATTACAGAAACTGTTTTTATATACTGACTACATATTTTGAAAATTGAGGTTCAAAAACAAATTTAATTCTCTTAAATTTTACGAACTATATTTCGTATCTACCACGTTACACGCGGAGGAGCACATATTAAAATGAGTACTCGATTATTTGTTGTTATTTTACTTAACTGATTTTCTCTTGTTTGTAAAACGAAAAGTACATGATTTTTTAATAAAAGATAAGTTAAATAAGTTGGTAAAATTACTAATTACACTCTTTGTACAGTTGACTGCCAACTAAGCGATATGGTAAATGTGATGTTTACTTTATTTTGACGGATTATATAAAAAGCAATTTACTTGATTCATAAGTCATATTGTTTGATTTATTCCAGGCAAAAAATTTATTTGTAAGCATCATTCTTTTAAACCCACCCTGGGTGTTTAAGTGTAGAATTGGGGGTGCTTTGGCGAAGTTAATTTTTTAGCAACCGAAATTAGGCGCCAAGCAACTTTAGCGATAGGTGTTAAGAGAAATTGCAAAGTGGAATTTTACAATAAAATAAATATTAATGAGAAATAAAAAAAATATATTGATAAAGTTATCAGTAATGCCTTTTATTGAGTTGTTTGGCGATCGATTCCAGTCGCCGAATCTAAAGGGCTAACTATTCAACACTTTAACCCAAAAGTGAAAACCTTTATCTATGTCATTACACATAGCCAACTACTAAAACCAAGGCCATCTAGAAAGGACTAGGCCGTGACAGCATTTTGATGACGTCACGAAAGGAGGAAAGCTTTTTATGCGCATTCGCTCTGTGAGGAATATAAAGCTTTGAACATTTATTTCTTTTCATGCCATAGGCTAAAATTTCCGCATTTATATTGATTATTTTTTTTAAATTCTTACTGAGAATATTTTCTGATGAAAGTTATGCATTAATACGCTAGAATGATGCATAATATTTTCCCGGAAAAAGGGACAAAATCACTCATGAAAGGCTCCTAACAGTATAAGAAAAGTCTAAGAAAAAACTGGCTCAATGTAAAATAATTTCAATCAGATAAAATAAAAAAATAACAAACATTTACTTGCAAAGAAAATTTGAAAAGTAGAGCACACATTAGAGGCATATTAATAAAAAATCATGTGTTTGAAACATTTTGCTGGAGTTCCTTTTTTCCCGTGAAATGACATTTTTTTAATCTCATAGAATCAATGAATCAAAAAAAAGAAAAATTATAAAAAAAAAAGCTAAAAAAAATATTCAAATATAGAAATGACAAACAGTTTTAGACATCATAGTAATATGATATTAAAAAAAAAGATTCTAGATTATAGTTAAAATATTCAATTTTTATTCATTCAATATTCAAAAAAATTTAAAATAATTTCAACCAAAAAAATAAAAAAGAAAATAGGAAAAGTAAAGTATTTGGGCATATTATTATAAAAAAAAAAAACATGCAAAAATATATACAAATATAGAAATGACAAACAGTTCTAGATACCACCAAAAATTTTTATAGTAAAATAGATTCTAGATTATGTTTAAAAAATTCAATTTTCTTATTCAATATTCAAAAATTTTAAAATAATTTCAACCCAAAAAAATAAAAAAAAAAAGAAAAGTAAATATTTGAGGATATTATTTTAAAAAAAAAAAACATGCAAAATATATACAAAAATAAAAAGACAAACAGTTCTAATACCCAGTAATTATATAGTAAAAAAAGATTTAGATTATACGTTAAAAAAATTAATTTTTAAAAATTCAAAATTTA